ATTCAACATAATTTAACAATTGGTAATAAAAACTTCTATAACGGAAGATACTCAGTTATGCACTTCCATATTTGAAAAAGCAGCTTTGATTCTTAGTGCCCACTGATTCATCATTTATAACACAGCGAGTTACCTACAAAATATACTAACAAATAGTTATGATTTGCATGCAGGTCACACACAAAAATGATATAAATAAAGCACGTACGTCAAAACTACTATATCCTCAATAAAATCCAATGTTACTTTAGAACATACAAACACTCATTTGCAGCAATATACGCACAGTCGTGTATCAGCATTACTTCATATATACTGCTAGGCAGCTTTAGATTCGTCAATAATGTAATTGGAATGTGAAGAGTGCATAGCAGTGCTATAAAACTGGTTTCTGTTTCAGTAGTCTCAGGTCTCGAAGTAAATATCTGTTCTATTCATTAAGCTTAGTTAAGCCTAGTTCATTCTGAGCTATAAAAACAAGCAAAATTGATTAAGTTTTCAGTTACTCGTCATGATCGCTAGTAGTATACATTACTATGCTGACAATGCAGATTAAACTACTTGTATTATCAATGAGAAAGAAATATATATCTACAGATTAGCTTTATTTAGAAGTACTAAATTCATGAGGTATTCAACTAACAAGAAAATTAGTGAAGCCATGATAGTAGAACGTATTCCTGACTCAAAAAATAATGATTTGAAATAAAATAAGAGTTCTCTTATTTGTACCCTCCATACACTGCTCATGTACAGCATGGCGATTTCAACAATTTAATCCATTCTAACTTCAAATATATATGCACATAGTCTGTGATTGATGGATGCTCAATAAACTTCTTTTTTTTTTTACATCAGAAGATCTCAAAATCATAAACAAAAGTGCTACCATAGGTCGTTTAATCAAACAACATAAAGTTGCAATCTGAACCAACAAAAGTTTATCCCAAAACTGGAAAAATAAATCGATCAAAAGCATGATTAAGTTCAGCCGGCTGGATCCGTACTTCGATGCGAGAAACAGAAAAACAGCAACCATAAGATAGATCAGGTAATAAAATAATATAATTATGATGAATCATATAATTAATAACGAGAATAATAAAATGTAACTTTTTATTTTATGCGGAAGTTGATCATCTCGCATAGTACATTGACAATTTGATGCAAAAATCTGCGGCCAAATGTTAATAAGTCAGTCTCCCAATTCAAAAAGGTATATACTGTACAAGTAGATAAGTAATGGAATTTATGCCTACAATTCTCTCATTCCTTATAGAAAATGAGTCTCTCTATTTGATATTGCCAACAATGCATAGAAAAGAAAGATCGAATTAACAAACCTGAAAGATTTATGGCTATTCACATCCACTAGCAAGAGGAATTATATACAGTTTAAACTCTTAGGCAACCACCTTCCATCTGTATGGCCTTCTAAGGTTGCTAGATTAGACAATTCTTCCTCTTTTCATTGTATATGTACTTATTTATGCGTTTTGCAGGAGCTCATTGCCATAACATTACTATATAGCAACATTGAAACTAAAAGCACTAACACCCAAGTACATAACAGGCAATATATAAATAAGCCATAACGATATCTAATATACAATAAATATGCTACTTTTATACAATGAACAATAACAAACAGCATACATACATACATACATATACATACAATACGAGTTTCAACATACATGCAAAACAACATTATACATGAAATGATATACCATGACAGAGTAACGAATTACATAAACATGCAAATTTAATTAACACAACATTAGAAGAAGTCCATATGATAGCATACATACTAAATATTACAGTAAGACTATAGGATACATTAAGTACAGAGCTATAGAAAATTTATAATAAAAATATAATAAAAACAAATATACTTATGAAAGACTTAAATTTCAAATATAGAATAAAACAAAAGATAGGGTCAAACGAATGCGTTACCATAGTATCTGAAGTTCTCGAGTGTATAAAGTAAAACTAGAAACATAGAAAAAAAAAAAAAAGTAAGAACATAAACAGGTGAAATTACTAAAAAGCATATCTTTTCATATCATTTTTATTCAGGTACATTTGCTGGACTCCAACACGTACCATAAACAGGATAAACACAACTCTAATAAAAACTATAGTTATAGTTATGGATAACGACATAGCTTAGTACCTATTCAGTGGAATATTCGTAAGTACATTCATAAAAGAGATTAGCTGTATCAGATTCACATGGAAATTCTGAAAAATATAATGTCTATAAGTTCCTAAAACATATTTGTATTGATAAATATGGTGTTTATATTGTGCGATCTCTTTTCAATTCTTAGAATCGTCAATAAATTATCATTGCTTTTGACTAAATAATTAGACACCATTCAGTAAGTTTTGAGCAGAAATATCAAGAAAGGTGTAAATAATAAATAACCCTCCACAGTACTAGCCATTTTCTTCTTGTTAACATAAGAAGAGTCATAATAGGGATAATCTTATATACATTGCGGAGTATCTTACTATGCTTTACTGATACTCAATTTATTATCATTGATAAAACCCAGATTAATTTGTTATCTACATAATGTATGTAAACAATAGCCTTACCTTGGGCAGATCCAACTCGTTCTTCCACATGCTTTTTCTCCATTGACAACGAGTACGAAGCCGGTTAGATTTTAATATTGTGCAATTCTCAGTATCAAATGAAATATTCAACAAAAAATACAGCGAAAATTTAATTCGTACAGAACCTCATCGTTATCATATCACTTCAATTTATTATGTCATATTGATAATTAGCGTGTGGTATAAGAATTTATACGGTTATATGATCATGTGATTTAACTATTAAACTAACAACTTAGTATTCTCTGACTTATGCCAATATAGAGTGATAAAATGCTTTGCATATAATATTTTTATATCTTAAAATGGCGAGATTACTCAAAGATATAATATAAGCATAAACTGTGTACACTTACATGATTGACTTAATAATACCAATAAATTAAGATTTATGTGTTTGATTTATTAGAATAGAATTATATTTCAAGCTGAACTGTCAGCTTTAGCACCCTTTGTATCCCCTGAATACAATAATACTTGCGAAATTTAAAGTGAATATTGGGAGTGAGGACCAATGATAATAGTTATTACATAATTATCTGTCAGGCTGATGTTAGATGCCACGCAAGATAACGTGAGAGATAGATATTTTGATGAGTCCCAAGATAGATAAACAACAACAAATACAGAGCAATGCAACGCACTACCATCCAGACGAACACAATATCAACACCCACACACACTACATCCACACCTCACCCACTACTAAACGCAACACTATGCTCATGCATCTCCATCAACAATCATCTCAATCACACACCCACACTAGAAACAGACACACCACTAACCAAGACGACACACATAACCATCTAACGTAAACAATCAATACAGTGCAACTAACCACAGCAATTACCACACACACAGCTACAAACAATCTATACAACACCTACACATTCGCGCACCACACATCACGTGACACATCACACCCATCCACACATCAACACATCATCTCACACCACAGTAGACAATGCAGGGCGAGAGGACTAACACAAACATCTAGACAACCGAATACGGCTATCTTACAGCTTTTCCTCGAGCCTATCATCGATGGCGTACTCTATTCGACACACACGGTACAGGCACCGACACACACATCTACACTATAACGAGCACACGAACAGCGATCAGCAGAAAGCCTAACGCAAATAGCCCACACAGCAATCAACATCCGACAAGCTATCATCCACAAACAAACAACCTCCATCCGAACCCTACCAAAAACAAGAGTCATACAAAATTTCACACATATCTACACACACAACAGACATCTGATGCGAGCGAGAGAGCGAGCGAGCGATCCGAGCACACACATTTTGACCCACGACCGCACACACTGAACGAACACACACTCACTCACCAGCAACTACAACCAGACACGGACACTGCAGCACACAGCAGAGTGAAACCCCCACCCTCGACCACGACGCACCCACACGAATACCACTACGCCCCCCGTACACAGATTCCATAGACAATGTCTAAGAAGTAGTGGCAAGAGAACATGTCTTACATGATATTGTTGCTGATCCTACCGAGCATTAACCTCATTGTGCAGTGGCAACAGCCACTTTGTCAGGTTTTGGCCAAATAAGTGATTTCCATTTCTGCCCCTTTTAATTCAACATAACCATTCTATATATTTCTTTTTCTTTTATTAACAGCTTTTATCTCTTTATTATGTACAAAGTGCTACTCAACAATCTGTTGCAAGCAGCAAAAGCCTTATCGGAATAATATTGAGTGAGACTTGTGTATTTACTTACTATCCAATAAAATCAATCCCTTCCAAACACTAAGCATCACAAATATTTTTCCTACTGACTATAGTATCCCATCCATTCAAGACTAATAAACCTACAAAAAATACCCACTTAATTTTTCTCCGAACTTGTTAATGAATCACTTGTGGCTTTTCAATCTTATTCATGAACCTCTGAATTGTAAAATAAAAGCTGAAGTAACTGAATACATGTTCCCTGATAATTCTGAAACAGAAAACTGGTCATCTCTTAAGCCATCTGTTTTTATCAGTTTCAAAATAAATGACTCAAAGACTGTCTGGTTTTGTTAAAATCCATTTTTTTAATCAATTTCTTTTCTAATGGGTGGTGTCACATTACATACACTACACAGTCTTTATCTGGCAATAATTTTATCTATCACTGAAACTTTACCTATGAATATGGAATTTTCTCAAGACTATGTATTATTCCATAAATTATTTAAATTAATATTTATTCTTCAATATCTGACATTTTGAAGACCTCACAATAAATAGAACAACTATTACAAAAACACCTACAATAGCAAACAAATAATCAATATAGTTGCATTTCACTCTCATCTTTGAGCACATTCCTAGTTGTACCTTTGTTCATAACAAAAAACTATACAAAACATTCAAGAACATACCTCAGAAGGGAAGGGTCTACTGTTAGTCTTGGACGCTTGAACTGGGCTGAATTAATGTATTCCTCCACAAGTTTTGGTGTGACACATATAACATGTTGACCCTTCCAGTATTTTACTAAATTGATGCTCTGCAGCGTGGAAATTATGTCTTGCTGCGTGATGCTGGTCATTTGGCTGTGGATTTTAATGATATTCAAATTCTAATATCTCTAATATAACATTATTACTAATCCTAAAAAGAATTTACTTTATGACGCACTCAAATAAAAATAATTATTAACAGTACTAATATTGTCATTTCTGCATCTTTATTAAATATACACATTTCTAACTCCAACATAATCTTGGTACTTAAGACATTGATCAATCACTCTACAATTTGCATTAAAATGTGCAATTTCAAACAATCTGAGTATCCCTTAATTTAACCAACATTAAATTCATCTTAAAACCATACAATTCTCAGCCCACTATCCTCCTCCTTCCACTTACCTAAGATCTTTGATGGACAGTGTGCCTTTAAAATCTCGAAGAATCTCTAAAAGTACCCAGGTCCAATATGATCGGTAGGAAAGCTTTCCAAGATCAGACAGAGGCTTCTCAGGGCTCCCTACAACTCCTTCTAGCTTGCTGAGCTCATAACTGCAAATGAATGAAGCAAAAAATATTTTACAAATATAGATATATATATACTTAATAGTTTTTTTACAGATATAATTATAATTCTTTTTTTTTTGGTCCTTATAATAATTATAGAATACTTAATCCCTTGAATACAGACGCTTCATTGCCCACACATTTTCTAAAATATGGGCATTAGGCTTACTTAACCTGCTAAGTGTTTCTCACGTCACATGACATGCTTGCACTGAGTACGGCCAGAGGTTTCCCTAGAAGGTGAGGGAATTCTGGGTAGTCTACTGCCACCAGACCTGTCCTTAGAGTCATGGTAAGTAGACGCTACCGATCCCTAGATACACCCAGCATTCATTCATTGTTTTCACGCAAAAATAATGGAGAATTTATTGATGATGAGGGGGACTCTGATATTGACGACCCCCTAGATGATAGTGATAAAGATAGGGATTATATATTTGGCAAAGGTTATTCTGAGAGTGAGGCAAGTAGTGACGATGAGCATGAGGGGCCCTCTGCCACCACCATGCCGCCTTTACACACCGTAGCTGCTGTTGCCTCATCTCCTTCATCTACTCCATGTTTACAACCTTCCCAAGCTTGAAATATGTAAATAGAAATAGTGTAAGGAAAAAGACGTGTAGAAATAATGTAAACAAGTACAGGCATATTCACTAGGCAGCTCATAAGATTGCCAAAGGGAGTATTTATATCATTTGTATGATTAAGTTTTGAAAATGAGTTTATTCAGTTTATGTATATAGTTTTACAGAATACACTAATGGCTGCATGTAAAATATGCTGGAAGACAGCATATGAAGTGCATAAGAAGCGAAGGGAGAAAATGTGGCAATAGCAGGGGTCAGGAAGTCCTGGTCTGGCAGCCTAGCACGGGGATTTAAAAATGCACTTAAAGGTTTTCATTTGTGTTTCTTGAATGATTTTGGGTTGTTTCGGATAAGAGAAAAAGAAAAAAAAATTGTAACCTCTAGGGGTACCCTATATGTAAACAAAAGTAGCACTTAATGGGTTAAGTGGGCACTCTGACGGCTGTGTGGCTTGTAGGCAAGGTGCACACATACACTTGTTTGTGGTAACATGACTCCATGCCTCCCCTTTGCAATGCTATTTTCTCTTTTTCTGCAAAAGCATTTTTATCTTTTTCTAATATCAATATTTGTCACTTGATTTGCTTTATCCAGATGGTAAAAGACTATTTTCCTTGAACAGACTCCATATCATCTCTCTTGGTAGCCCATAATTCAGCACAATAATAATAACAATTTATAATAATTTGTTGTATGTCTTTTCTTTTGTAATATTCAATTCCTACAATGCTAGTCACAGTAGGCAGGAATAGGATCCTAAACACAGAAATAGTGTCCGCCCTAAAGCTAGTGCTCTTACAGTCATGTCTCACAGATGGAACCTTCTACACTCGTTTATCGATGGAAATAATGCTAAAGCCTCTTCCTAAATGCCCACAGAGTCTAATCATCTTCCAAGAGCTTTGTGCACTCATGGCGAGTCATTCCCATCGCCCTGGCCTTTAGCCGAAATTCTCATGACAACAAGTTCTTGTCTTCCTAGCCCTAAGCCAATTTTTCCCATGACAGCATGTTTATGACCCCCTCAAGCCAAATTTTTTCAAAACATGATGGTCACATTATCTGGGTCATAAGGGTTAATGAATTAATATCAGCCACAATAATACCTAAAATAAGTAAAATACACTCAATATTGTTATAGTCCAAACATCTAAAGTCTTCTAAATCAGTATATGTTTGTTAGATAAGATGGCTATGTTCCCTAAAGGGGAGGCAAAGTGCATACTAAAGTAGCACCAAAACATTATTGTTCATCTATGAATGAAGAAATCAGATATATTAATCAGGAATTAAAAACTTTTTATTATTTCTTAAGTACAATTTAAACCTTTGTTAACATACCTGAAAGCTATAAGGAGTTTCCCATAGCCTTTTCTCTGGAATGGTGGGAGTGTCATAATGCAAGCTACATTATGCCCATCTGGACTTTCCTTCTCCTGCAAGTAATAAAGCTTGTGAATTATCCAAACATTAACAACATATCTTTTCTAAAAAATAATTTTAAATAAATAAATAGATAATAAAAAATAATATGAACATTTATTTTAAAAATTCTATAACATTCAGATCTTATTCAGATTTTTTCCTCTAATGCCTAAACCCGTAAGTATATAACATTAGACCAGGAGTTAGCACCCTCTTTTGTTTGTTAATTCCTTAATATCCTCCTTGATAATACAATGACATGATCATAAAAAAAAATCTAACATGTAGTAGTGCACTGACATTGCTAAATTATATTTGCCTCTACTTTTTCATATTCTTTTGAAATCTACAGCTTCATTAGTTAACCCAAGCACAACAAATGACATCTAATTATATCATGGCAAACTATGCCTAAATCCAAGGAGGCAAGTATCCATGCCACATACGGCCAAGGCAGTTCTAATCAGTTGTTTCCTTGTACAGCCTTGGTTGTGGCCAGAGAGGAGATACAGCCCCTGGATAGTAAACTTAAATCCTCAATTCCTAATTGAATTCCTCCAAAATTATCTTTAATTATTTTAAACCAATTCTTGGCAAGATTATACATATCCTGTCTACTCTAATTTTAACTTATCAATTTTGTTTACAAAAAGATGGCTCAGCAAAAGATTAGTCATATAGGAGTCAATTACTAGGTTGAATTTTTGGAGACAAGGTTACTAATAGTATGATGTTGATGATAATGATGATGATAATAATAATAATAATAAAAATAATAATGTCACTATTCATTTACAAATCTTCTACACGCATCACTTTCTACTCAAGGGAGGGATTGTAAAGGCATTTCATCCTGGTACACATATTTCGAATTGATGGCAGGAAATAAAGATATTCAAATGGGGATATGTAAGCTGGCTACCTTACACTTCATCATCAACTGATGACAGTAGCAGCCTAAGGGTTAAGACAAGTCAACCAAGTTAACTTTGTGCAACCTGGGAAACTACTAAAATCCCAACTCACTCTTCCCCCACCTCTTTCTCTTAGGAATGTCCAAAGAGGGGATGCTGTGCTGTTTTCTTTGTGTTCTTTCCTGATTTCTGGGGTTTGTCAGTCATTAAAATGGTTGGGACTTCCTAAAATCCTTGTTTTTTTCATATCCACTCTTTTCCAGCAGGGTGAGTTTTTTTCTTGCATCTTTCTTTATGCTTCTTTTAGTATCCCTCTGTATTTCCCTCATTTTGTTTAACTGTCTCAGCCAGCTCAGTGACTGGGATGGTGAAAGAGAGCTGACTGGGTGTGAGTAGCTCTCTCATGCTCTTTGTATCTCCCTTCTTTATTTCTTAGGTGAGATGTGTGAAAAAAATTCTTCGTAGGGGAACATGAGTAACAGGGTTGCCTTTTCCTAGCTTGTCTCTTAATTCCTCTCTTTCTCCCTCTATTGTTCTTTCTTTAAACGTTTCCATTCTAGGATTAGGAATTGATCCATATGCATCTCAATCTCTGTGCCTTCCACCTTCTCCAATCTTTGGTCCATTTTATATACATACATTTTTGACAGTCTACCATAAATGGCATGACATCAAACTTTCAAAGAACTATTATTGATATCAAAGAGTATTTACACATAGATTAAATATGGAAAGTCACAGTTCATGGCCATCATGGTCACCAACTCCCTTTTACTTTTTCTCTTTGTCTCTCTCTAGTCCCCGAGTTGTTGTTGCTGTTTTTAGGGTAGGAGGAGTATCTTATTGTGTCTCTTTTCCATGGGTATCATCCCACCACTATCATTAACCCCTAAGTGATGGATATGGTTATAGCAGTCATGACCTAATGATGTATGACGTATATACATGCCATAACTCACTCCAGCGAGTGAGCAGGTGGGCCGGCTGTACACCATACACACCCTGCCAAAAAGGCTACAATCTTCTGCAGTCTTCCCCTTCCAGTGATGACTATTTAGTGCATATCATCTGAAATGACCCCCACTGATTTAATTACTCATTTCATATCTGACTGAATATCGCCCCCTCTGTGTGGTTCACAATCTACCAATCCAAAATTGATATTTGTCATTAGCAAGGGAAAATTACCATCATACAGAGAGAACTAAGGGAGAATCATTCAGTTTGAATTTTTCTTAAGGTACTTGAAGACCACTCTGTCTTGATGAAAATCCCAGTTGGAAATTGCCAATATGAACCCCACCCCTTCACCTTCATTAATTGTAAATATTTACTTCCACACTCACTTATTTGGTTACTTGGAGCATTATTTATTCAATATTATCATAATCACTAGACGAAAAACAAAAATCCCACTCTTACTCATTTAAACACCAACTATATACAGCCATCAGAATACTCTAAGGAAAAAGTAAATTTCATTTTTTGGTTCAATAGGCTAAATAGTTGTGGTGCTACTTGTCTTTTGTGTACCTTGGTCTAACTCTAACTAACTCAGTGGGTGGTGATGCATAGCAGTTTTAAATGGTGTATATGAATATACAATTCATAAACCTACATGATGTTTAAGTGAAATTTCAATACAAATGTTCACAATTAATTCTCATTTCGTATCTTTTGAAGTCCTTATCCCATGTTTTTTTTCATTTTCTGAAGTCCTAGTCATGTGTAGATAGAGCTGAGGTGTAATCACAGAAATCTTGACAAACTGACTAGTTTAGAAGTTTTATCCTAGATCACAAATTCAGTCTATTATAATACTTCATAAAACAAAAAGACGAAGTATAAAAGCCCTGGGAAATCAGTTAAAAAACATAAAAATGAAGAACTTTTGTCAAATAATTCTGTAATGATTTCATCACATATTCTAAAGTAATATATAAGCTAATATGGATAATATACTGCAAATTCAGTATATTGCTACCTTTGTATAATGGACAAAACATATCTTGAAAGTCCCAGAACATGAAATGAACTGAAAGACAAACATTAAGAAACTTCATATTTCTTTTAAATCATTCTGTAAAGCTTTTATTCCTCTTAGTCACAAGAAAACTCGCTGAGCAAACATGAACACTACATTACAGACTCAATTTACAACCACCTTCATGTAACTGAAAATATGGGAATTTCTAAGCTGCAAAACATGAAGAAACACTAAATGGTGACCTACATAAAACAATATCTTACTGAAGAAAATGGATGGAAGAACATGTGAGATGCTGTGCATGGGTCTCTCACTCTCAAAAAATAATGTTATAACAATAATAATGAAAAAAAACAAAAACAAAACACTAATAGAGATAATCATATTATTCAAAATAAACACATCTTTAAGAAATTTAAGTGCTTGTGAAGCCATCTATGTGTAAACAAACATAATAAAACAAAACCACAGTCCATAATGCACTCATTGCCAATGGTTAATATCATCATTACCTATATGACTGCAGTCATAATAATCACTACCATAATCATCATCAATGGCATTAATCAGTAAAACAGAATGAATTTTATCTGTTATACCATACCACAATACACTGATTTTCATACACAGCTATCACTAAAAACATGAACAATCCAACACATACCTTTGAGAAATAACCAACTAAATGTGCTCCCTGCTTGTCCACCTCGCACAGGATATAAAACAAGAATGGCTCCACATCAAAATATAATGTCTTGTGGTCTAGGAAGAGTTTTGCAAGAAGGCAGAGATTCTGGCAGTATATCTTGTGTTCTGCCCCATCCACTTCATAGATGCTAAGTGTTCCTTTTCTGTAAATATCTCTACCCGGTGGTTGTCTCCAAGTGCATTCACTCTGCCAAATTCAAACAAAAAATATAAATTTCTATACCTTATAACTAAAACTACAATAATGATACCAATAAGCCAGGAATCTTAATAGACCTTTAATTTGATGAAAAAGGAAAAAAAAAAAAAAAAAAAAAAAAAAAAAAGCTAAGTAAACAGACAATGATTATCTTACCAGATGATATCTGTAGGTTTTTTCAAGTCGCATATATTTTAGACAATATTGGCACGTATAGAGTTTAGGTGCTTTCCCATATTCTTCTGGATATGGGCTGAAATACCATGTGTCAATCTCGAATCGGCCAATCTGCACTCTGTCTATGTACTTTACTTTTGTTATTGCTTCATGTTCTTTTTCCAGTGCTGCCGTTGTAGGGTCCATATCTGCATAGGTCTGGTCAGGAGGAAAAATAAGAAGGTAAAACTGGAACTCAACCATGTCAAAGTATCACTCATAATAATATTTCATTATTATCATTATTGCTATTAATCCTATCATTATTATTATCATCATAATCATTACTATCATCATTATCATTAAATAACCCCCTCTCCCTGAGTGCCCTAAACCATCAAGTCAGCCAAAGTATTGGCCCTGTAAACTTAAGTTTGTGAGGTGTTAGCTCAGTGATTTCAGTAATTGTCTTTCATGCATCCTCATTCCTCAGGATATATATCAAAATGTAAATCACTGTTTCATGAAGAATGTAGCAATGTTGGCTGTTAAGTACATTTAAACTTGTGTGAAATGAGTTAATGTAACAATTCATCAACTTGAACTTGACAATCTGTCCCATTTTTAATATTCCAAACTTATTCTTTCGTGTCATTCAGTAATTCTCAACAAAAGAATTTAGACTGATGGATGTCACTAAAGGTGTGAAACCACATATAGAAACAAATTTGAATTCTAGGAAACACAGAAAGCTTGGATAACCTCAGAATATGCCATAAGGTAATACTCATGTGTCTGATGAGGAATCAATTTGTATTGTCTGATCTGCTTAACTTCTCAACCAAAATATGTTTTACAAACACTGGCAGATATGTCAGAGACTAAGTGTGCAGAGGAGCTATATTTTCACAAGCCAGAATATTCAAATGAGAATTCAGCAGTGGAAACATACCTTCATGGTTGGAATAGCTGATGGCTTCAACTCTAGTCAGTGCACACTTCAACTATTTGCCACGCTAAACAGTTTTCAAAATGCTCACTATATATAGTTGAGTGTAGTTAAATTATCTACAAGAAAGCAAGAATCCTGTTTAAAACCTATTCCACACTCCTTTTATTCCTTCTACAACATATCTAATGCAGTAAACACAGCTGAACAACTGAGAAGCGAAAAGGAAGGCCTAAAAAAGAGGAACAGGAATTTGGAGATGGTACACTGGGTGGGGCTGGATAAAAGTTGCTGGTCAGTATCAGATTTGTTAGTTGATAATACACATATCTCATACACAGCAAAAAAAAGACATTGGGAAATAGTGAAACAGTTTAGGACAGCTCATACATAATCATGACAAGCAGGAATGCCTGAGATGCAGCAAGTTACAATGGTAGCAAATAAGATTTTAGGGATTAAAAAGCTGGACAGTCTAACCATTTTAGTAAGTGTCTATGAATGTTTTTCTTTTCTGATGAAAAATAGCATATCAGCAAGACTGTCTCATGTCTAAAGCATCAAAGTAAGAAGTTAACAGAAATGTTGATTTACACAAGCCTGGCACTGGTAATCTCTACATCTAAGGCTTACGTTAACTTAACCATGGGAATCTGGAGTACACAGAAAAAAGAAACACAAACCCATTTTTTTTTAAGATCAGAATAATTCCAAGATCCTTATAACCAAGAACAGTCGTCATCTCTTACCTTCTGTACATGATTGATTTCATCATGTTTCCGCTTCTGATTTCTTGTAATTTTCCGTCCTGCAGTTTGGTCATTGAGGAGGTCATTACCCGTTAATGTTTTGTCCCCACGTTGATACAATTCAGATAAATCTATCCTGAAAGATTAAATTTTAAAACGTAGATAATTATTCCTTTATATCTTTTATTTACTCATTCATGGAATTTAATCAGTATTATTTCTGGCAAGCAGGTATGATAAACAGATCCCTGCCTTTCTATGCTTGTACCAAGTTTCAAGTTATTAATATCTCTTCTTAACCCCTTAAACCAAAAATACAGGCATTAGGCTTTACAGCGTGTAGACCAGGCGCACATGAACACTTCTGCAGTAACAAGACTATATGCCTCCCCTTTGCAGTGTAATTTTGTATACGTGTTTTTAGTTTTTTTGTCATTTTCCATGGTCCAACTTTGTATCTTGTTTTGCTTTATCCAGATGGCAATGGACTGCTTTCCTTGCACAGACTCCATATCTTTAAGTAGTAAATAAGTCAGTGCAAGAAAAAAAAAAGTAACATGTAGTTATATGAGTCCTTTTTTTTTTATCTTTTCATAACAAACTGTGCCACTGGTAACAGCAGCCAGGAATAGGATGCTGAGCATGGAAATGGCATCCTCCCTAGAGCCAGCAGTCTTGCAACCATGGCTCAGATATTACATTCCATCTTGGTTTGTAGATGGAAAAAATGCAAAAACCCCTTCCTCAACTCCAAAGGAGTCTAATCACCCTCCAAGACATTTGTGCACTCGTGTCAAGTTTTTTCCGTCACTTTGGCCTTCACTTATGATGACCAATTTATTCACATGACATGATGGTCACATTACGCAGATCGAAGGGGTTAATAAATACAGTTCAAAAGTTTTTTACGTGATTTCGATAAATTGTAACTGGTGGTTCATTTCTTTTTATTTACCCTCTTTCTCTTTCCTGCTACATCATTTGTTAATGAGAATATGAGGCAAGCTTTTGCAAATTGCAAAAATTATCAAGTGAAAGAAAATAATCAAATAAAAGAAAATAGATATGCTTAAGGGGAAGGGGGGAGGGGGAAGGGGAGAGGGAGGGAGGGAGAAAGGAAGAGAGGGAGAGAGAAGAGAGGGAGAGAGGAGAGAGAGAGGGAGAGAGGAGGGAGAGAGGGAGAGGAGAGAAGGGGGAGAGAGAGAGAGGGAGAGAGAGAGGGGGGAGAGAGAGAGAAGGAGAGAGAGAGAGAGAGAGAGAGGGAGGGAGAGAGAGAGAGAGGGGGAGAGAGAGAGGAGGGGGAGAGAGAGAGAGAGGGGGGGAGAGAGGAGGGAGAGAGAGGGAGAGGGAGGAGAGGAGAGGGAGAAGAGAAGAGGGAGGAGAGAGAGGGGCGGAGGAGAGAGAGAGAGAGAGAGAGAGAGAGAGAGAGAGAGAGAGAGAGAGAGAGAGAGAGAGAGAGAGAGAGAGGAGAGGAGAGAGAGAGAGAGAGAGAGAGAGAGAGAGAGAGAGAGAGGGAGAGAGAAGAGAGAGGAGAGAGAGGAGAGAGAGAGAGGGAGAGAGGAGGAGAGAGAGGGGAGAGAGGGAGAGGAGGGGAGAGAGGAGAGAGGAGAGAGGGGAGGAGGAGAGAGGGAGAAGAGAGAGGGAGAGGGAGAGGAGGGAGAGGAGAGGAGGAGGGGGGAGGGAGAGAGAGAGAGGGAGAGGGGAGGGAGAGGAGAGAAGAGGAGAGGAGAGAGAGAGAGAGAGAGAGAGAAAGAGAGAGAGAGAAGGAGAGAGAGAGAGAGAGAGAGAGCAGAGAGAGAGACGAGAGAGAGAGAAGAGAGAAGAGAAAGAGAGAAAGAGAGAAAGATGAGAGAGAGAGACGGGAGAGCTGAGAGAGGAGAGAGAAGAGAGAGAGAGGAAGAGAGAGGGAGGAGAGAAGAGGACGAGAGAGAGAAGAGAGAGGAGAGAAGGAGAAGAGAGAGAGAGGAAAGAGAGAGAAAGGAGAGAGAAGATGAGAGAAAAGAGAGGAGAGAGCGACGAGGAGCGGAGAAGAGAGAGAGAGAGAGAGAGAGGGAGGAGAGAGAGAGAGAGAGAGTGAGAGAAGAGAGAGAAGGAGAAGGAGAGACGAGAGGAGAGAGAGAAGATGAGAGGAGAGAGAGAGAGAGAGGATGAGAGAGAGAGGAGAGAGAGTTAGAGAGGGAGAGAGAGTTAGTGAGGAGAGAGGGAGAGAGAGAGGAGAGAGGGGAGAGGGAGAGAGGGAGAGGGAGAGAGAGGAGAGAGGGAGAGAGGGAGAGGGGAGAGGGGGAGAGGGGAGAGGAGGCGGAGGAGGGGGAGAGAGGGATAGGGAGAGGGAGAGAAGGGAGAGAGGAGAGAGGGAGAGGGAGAGAGAGAGAATGAGAGAGAGATATGGCAGTTCAAATATTTACATCAATTATTGGCATTGTAATTAGCCATAGTGCCGCTCTACAGACCTGCATCATGGCAAACATAGCTTGCTGCCAGCTTATATGAAACAGGTATTGATCAAGTGAATTCTATGAGCAGAAGATTTTAATGAAATTTTACTATAAAGATTCATAAAATTATTCCATTAACTGTATCTGCCCAAGTAATATGCACTTGTGAACTGTATGCACAGTATATTTTTTCATTACAAAAAAAGGCTACTGTGTGTTTATTTTCTATCATTTATTTCTAGGAAAATGAAAAAAAAAAAAAAAAATCCTGATTCATTTTTCTAATTTCCCTCTGCTAATGAAACGCCCACTAAAGAAATTGCAAAAAAATAAATACAAATCAATTCATCTATGATTCATTGTGTATAGTATCGTTTCTCCCGTCCCCAAAACAAAAATAAAAAATATTTGGTGAAAATACCTTACACTCATGTGTTATGTCATGTTAATTGTCTATCGTGTCCGTGGTCGGTTCTGATCAGTACTGGCATATTTCGCAATATGCGCAGAGAACCTGCACAGTAGGATGTAAAAACTTACATTCAAACATCAAAACAAATATGCCTGTTTTCTTGTTTTTATAGTGAATTCCTTTTCATATCCAGAAAGGAAGAGTTCTTTTCCTACCTGTACAAAATGGTAAATATATGTGTAAATTTTTAAAGAATATTTTTCATTTTGATTTCCAAAATAATAAATTCTGGTTGAAAGAATTTTTGTCTGTTTTCATTCAACTCCTTGAAGACTTCTAGTAAGAAAGAATTGACTGGAAGAGCACCAGCTTTAGGGAGAAGTGATGATCCGGATCCTATGATGTGGCACGAGGGGTGGATGACATGAACATGCTGTCACAGGAAAATTTGGCAAAGGGCTAGAATGACGGGAACTTCCAATCATGAGAATTTTGGCTGAAAGCTGGTGTGAAGGAATGGCTCACCACAAGTGCACAAAGCTCTTGGAGGGTGATTTGACTCAGTGGGTATAAAAAAGTGGCTTTTGCATGATTTCAATCAATAACAGAGTGTGGTATGTACCATCCATGAGCCATGACTGTAAGAATGCCAGTTCTTGGGATTAGCTATTTTCATGCTCTTGATCCTATTCCTGTCCGCTGTGACCAGCAACGCAAATTGCATTACAGAAAATTGAATATTATGGAGAAAATTAAAATATGACACATATAACAAACATTTTACAAATAACTATCATTATTGCCCTGAGTTATGGACTACCTCAAGAGATGATACAGAGTCTGTGCAAGGAAAACAGTCTATTCCTATGTGCACCCAGCCTACAAGCTTCACACCCATCAGAGTGACTGGTCAAGTAAGCTTAATACCCATATTTTAGCCCATGTGCAAGCAATGAAGAGTCCGGAAACAAGGAGATAATATAAGCATAAGCATGGTAGGAACTCCTCAACCCTCCATCCCCAAATACATCACAATTTAAATGGATATGGGAGAGGCCACTTATAATTTACATAGAATATTTAATAACACAAAATGTAGAAAAAGAAATAGCTAATAAAATTCTCATCTTCTGTTACATGCCAAAAAGCATTTCTAAGTAATTGAAATATACCACTTTACTTTTATTAATATACTTTAGCTAAATAAAGACAGAAAAGGAAATTTATCAACTGACTTAGAGACAGATTTCCATGCCCTTACCTCTCTTTAGTCACCCATTCATCCAGTCGACGATTGAGTCCATCGTAGTGAACGTAGTATTCATTTTGCATCTCAACATCATTGTATCTTCTTTGGATGATTTCTGCTGCCTCTGCAAAAAGACATCTTTTTTTAACAATAAGTACTCTCCTGAGGTTAAGTTTGGTGGGCGTAGTTGGGTCTGGGTTGGTTGGGTTTGTGTAATATGTTATACCCATTTTCACACTCATATAGGAATGTAGAATTAGCCAAATCAATATAAAACTCAGTTGTGATGGGGTCCGTGAATCCTAGGTAGCTCTCGATATCAGCAATTTTTACACAGATGTATTTATCGCCTACTGGAGTGAAAATGAAACATTGCATTTTAACATTACCTACTGAAATAATTCATGGGAGGATGAGAATGTGTTACAATTAGAAATTCCTACCAATGTGAGGATTTTCTAATGAAAAAAAAAAAAAATAAAAAAATCACCAAACAATTTTTCATGTGTTTTTCATTATAAATGTGGTAGATATCATTATATAAGCTTCCATCTCAAAAAATAAACAAACATAAGTCATTTGTTAAGAATACTTTAGTCACCACTTGGTCTTGTGGCCACACAGAAAGCCAGGCAAGATTTTTCATGCTTTCGAGCTTCTGTACCACTATCCTCAAACACTGGAAAGCTAATGGAAATCTGCAGAAACTGCCCATGGCCTATTACTCACTTTGGGGTCATATTCCAAATTATAGAATTCTTCATTTTTTTGCAACTAGCATTTAAAAATATTAAAGGAAAAAAATCTGACCTTCAGTATTGCTATTCGAGAACAGTTCTTAACCCCTTTAAATTTTGCTGTTAATATTTGAAAGCTATTGAAAATGCGCAGAAATTGACGGATTCATTTTTTCAATCCCGATCTCAAAATTTTAGAAAATCTGAAGACAGGTTTTTTTCTCTCTCTCTTTTTTTTTTTTTTTATAGGAAACTAAGGCAACTTTCGAATAAAACTTTCCATCAGTCTCTTTCGATTTTACTGATGGTTATGCTGATTTCTTTTCACTGTAGTTTGCTACAGTGAGGGCCAATAGCAGTATGTAAGCAATATAGGCCTATATGGATAATTGTAAGTATTTATAATTTGATGGTAAATTATTTAGTATACATTTCATTGAGCATGAAAGCAGAAATCAAGTGTATTTTATAGATCTTGCCTCCCCGATCCCACGTAAATCCCAATACCCTTCCTGTCCCCCAAACCAGTAACATGGGGAGACAGGTGGACATCTGATATTGGCTGTCCATCAACTATCATTAATATCAGTGTCTTCTGCATATTCACAACCTATATTACCACTATCATTTAATCTGTGCTTTGACTTCATATATTTACACTGCATAGGCACCATAAATGACAAAATCTTGAGCGTTTCAACTACATATAGATGAAATAGAATATTCAAGAAAATGTATAGTAAAATACCACACTCCCACTTTCCATAATAAATGTAAAATTACGCGTAGCAAACTAATATATACTTTTAAAAATGAACATTAATTTGCATAAAAGTTCATATCTAACACTGATTTTCAGGTTATAAAGAAGCTAACGGGGAGTGACTTACGCCATGTATCGTCTGCCCGTCGAACCATATACTGTTCTCCGATGTTCAATTGTATATCGTCACCGTCATTTTTGTTCTCTTCTCTCTCCTCTCGTTTCTTTTCGCCGTCTGGCAACAATACAGGTTCATTTTCCTTGTCTGCAGTGGAGGAATCATCATTTTTGTTTACTTCACTTGGCTTCGTATTGTTGTCGTCCGCCATTTCTAGTGTTTATATACAAGCAGCACGAGCCTAATTCTGTTTCTCTCCCGCCGCGTACTACTTGTGTAAAATATTTTTATGAATTTTGCTATTAAGTACACGATGATAGGAAAACGTTTGATGTAAAGTCAAAACCATGATTGATTTTGTGGTTATTGCCATTTTGAGAAAACATCACTGACTTCTTCAGCGTTAATAGTAATAACAGCATTAGCTTGGCTCAGCATTATTGTACTCATTATCACACTCACATTCTAGCATTAGCAATAGTGTAAGTAATAACTATTAACATTAGAATGATGATCATCATAATGCCTCATCATTTAGTTATCATTACTTTGTTAATGTCATGATTACTTTTAGTATTACTATCATAATTATTATCTTAATCATTATCATCATTATAATCATAATCATCATTTATTATTATTATCATCATTGTTATCATTATCATTATCATGTATTCATTATTATTATTATCATCATCATCATCATTATCATTATTTATTATTATTATTATTATTATTATTATTATTATTATTATTATTATTATTATTATATTATTATTATTATTATTATTACTATTCATTTCATTGTTATTATTTATTATTATTGTTATCATTATTATTATTATTATTATCATTATTATTATTGTTATTATTATTATATTATCATTATTATCATTATTATTCATTATTACCATT